TGTTGGCTCCCAGTGTCCAACATAAGGGTGGTTTGGAGGAGGAGCTGAATCAATCAGATACATGCTCTGGATTACATGTTGAATTTTCTCGATGTCTAACTTGTTTGGTGAGTTGGGTAGGCAGCAACCTTTTGCTGCCTAGTGAGAAACTCATACATAGCTTGTGAAAAATGTAGAAGTTGGGAGAGGTTGCTCCCAATGTCGAGATCTACTTCGTCAAGTGCCTTGTCTCATCCTGCCACACATCTCGAGATGGCCCATTGTTGCTCAAATAGGATTTGGCTCTTGAATTGTCCATTCTGCTCCCTAATTAATATCTTTGTACATTTTGCTGCTTTCTTTATTTATCTGACCTATATCACATCCAGTTTGGTGTTGCCTGCAAATTTTGAAACTGTACTTCCAATTCCTAATTGAAGGTTGTTAATGCAAATTGTGAATAACAACGAAAAACTGATCCTTGTTGAAAACAATGCACAGCCAGTCCAAGTAACTACTCTTCACCCTTACACTTTGCTTTCTGCTTTAGTAGCAAACTTGCAAGTTTTTAGGACTATATAATATGCAGAAAGACTATAACTCATGTACTTCTGAAAGCCAGCTGTGAACACAATTATTTATTTAACATCAAAATTATTTATTGAAATTGCAAATGTCACTGAACATTGCGCTATGCTCCTATTATGCAAGGCCATCTATAATAAATACTTTGGGTGCATAGCTGTAACTGTTGTAACATGCGCTTCAATAAATTTTTAATATATATTTCAAGAAAGAGAAAGAATGCTTTTCCATTTCACTGCTTGTGGGAATTAAACTGCCAGCCAGGGCATTGGGTTTTTGCAATATTTTACTGAAAATTCTGTGAAAGGAAAGATACAAAATTGATTTCATTCTCATTCATCCTTTGAAGATTCTCCAGATCAAACACCCCTGCAGTTTAGAGATTGTGATGGGTGGTCAAGACCCGGGGAGAACATGACACCAAATTTGTGCTCCTTTCTCACTATGCAGTCCTGTCTGGGGTCCAGGCACCCCATTACTTCAGCGTTTTGTGCCAATGTCTCCATCCATCAACATTTTGAGGAGAATGTAATGTCTCCCCATGGGTGGGCTGGGAGGTGGCTGCGGGGTTGAGGAGGTAGGATGGTGCAGGGTGGACACTCTGACGGCTTGCTGCTTCCTCCCCTCACCCTGATTACGTTGGGGAGGGGAAGGGTCCAGACGGCCTTCCCACCCACTTAGGGTCCATAGCCCACAGCCACTGGTATGTTACCAGCTTAGCATGTTGTCCTCCTTAGAGAGCCTCTGTCCAACAGAGTGACATGCTGGCATCAAGGACTGCCCATGAGGGAAGACCCTCACCTCACTTTGGCGCCCCTCACCTCTCCTTGCCCTCTTGAAGAGGCTGAGGACTCCTCAACAAAAAGATAAATGCCTGATTGGTGCAAAATGATGTGCACCATCTATTTTATTCACTCATGGGACAGTGGCATCACTGGTTGGCCAGCATTTATTACCCATCCCTGAAGGAAATTAGTGAGCCAGGTAGGTTTTTCCTGACAATCGGCAATGGTTTCAATATCATCTGTAGATTCTTAACGCCAGACTTTATTGGATTCAAATTCTACCATCTGCCGTGGCGGGATTCAAACCCAGGTCCCCAGAACCTGAGCTGAGTTTCTGGATTTACAGTCTAGCGATAATACCACAGTGCCGTTGCCTCCCCGATAGCATGACCATAGAATGGTTGCCATCAGCTCTCCAGCCGATGGATGGACCAATTGCCAAAAACTTTAAACACTGCCCCTGCCATGGGCTTGTAAGTGGGTGCATGATAAGACTATGCGAGTGAGCAAATTGATCATACTGCGTTTCTCCTTGTGTGTCCTATTATTCTAGTGATCCTAAGAGATTGCTGAGAACTGATAAATGGTATTTAAAATTTAAAAGATTGATGGCAGTACAGAAGCTTGCCTGGGGAAGGTGTACAGATGATTTTGTTCAACAAATCATTCTGCTCCAATTGCTTTTCCCTGTTGTTTGTCTTCCTCAGATTTCCCTCATTTAGTTCTTTTTATCTTTGTTTAAAAATGACTTTTCTTTCTGCTCCACCATGCCATCACTTCTGGCATTCCAAATACCTGTCTTTTGTTACCTCCTATGTCTGATCTATAAGTTGTCTTATGACAATATCTCCACCTAATGCTAATGCTAATTCAAATGTTTCCATTACTTCTCGTGACCTCTTCACAGCCTTTATTGTCAAACTGCTGATACCATTTCCAATTTTGATGTGTGGCACTTTCATGTCATAATTTCTGCACATTTCCTGCTGATTTTTTACCATTATCACAGTTAAACCAGACCTTTGACACTCTTGGCATCCTATTCATTTTCAAGTTGAGTTTCGAGTTGTTACAAAGATCCCTTATTTCCACCTCATAATGACTGCCCCGACAATCAAATTTGGCAACAAAGATCCTTGCCAAAAATGAAGTCAGTGAGAATCAGGGAAAACTCCCCACTGACTGGGGTCATATATAACACAAATGAAGATGGTTGGAACTGTTGGAAGTTGATTACTTGTGTCCATGGACATCACAGCAGAAGTTTTTCAGAGATAGTAAGAACTGCCAATGCTGGAGTCAGAGATAACACAGTGTGGAGCTGGAGGAACACAGCAGGCCGTAGCATCAGAGGAGCAGGAAAGCTGACGTTTTGGGTTGGGACCCTTCTTCAGAAAACATTTTCCAGTTTTTCAGGCTTCATCAATGTCCTTCTCTCCTTCACAAGGTCAGAGATGGGAATGTCCCAATATTGACTGTACATTGTTTAGCATCATTACCCTCTGTTTCATGTCAGCCAAAATCTACTGCACACACCCAATTCCATAATGTGTCTCAAATATCTGTAGAATCCATAGAATCCCTACAGTGTGGAAGCAGGCCATTCAGCCCATCGTGTCCACACCGACCCTCTGAAGAGCATCATACCCACCCCCACCTCCTAATCTACAACCCTGCATTTCCCGTGGTTAGTCCTCCTAACCTACACATCCCTGGACACTATGGACAATTTAGCATGGCCAATCCACCTAACCTATACATCTTTGGACATTAGCCATTACCCTCGTGCTTACAGACCTACATTAGGACCCAGTCTGCCAATGCCTCAAATTTAAAATTATCCTTTGTCTGTTAAATCATTTTTATGGCACTGACTTGTCTATCTCTGTAACCATGATACCTAAGTCATCTGGCATCTATTCCCTGCAATTTCTTCCCTAAACTTCTCCGTTTCTCCATGTCATTCTATCCTCCTTCAAAAGCCCCTTTCATCCCTTCATTCCTTGACTGAGGTAACAAAGTTGGCAAATCAAGTTAGTGAATTAAATATATTTGGACTTTCAGAAAGCCTTCAACAAAGGGCCACATGAGAAGATTATTAGGAAGATGGAAATCCAAGGAAGTAAAGTAGAATTAGCAGTTTAAGTATAAAATTGGATCAGCAACAGGAAGCAAAGGGTAATTGTGGAAGGATATTTTTCATATCGGGGTCATTTGCAATAGCGTCCCTCAAAGATCAGTTTTATGTCTTATTCTTTTCAAGTTAATACGCAATGTCGATTTGAACATGGGGAAGAACTTTTATGAAGTTTGCAGATGATAAAATCGTAGTCGAATAGCAAGTAATGGGGCAGTCTTCCAAATTTTAAGAGGAGGGTTTGTGATATGCTGGTCAACTCTTGTGTTAAACATTGCTTGCTACATTGCCTTCAGGCTGAAAGTCTCAGTCTGAAATGGCAATCTCTGCTGGATTTACTGGAAATGAAGACAGTGTTGTGAGAAGGTACTCAATTCAGTGACGTCGGTTTTCTCTGGGATCTCTTAACTGGTTGAGTTTTTCATTTCAGCTTTTTAAAGAATTCCTTTCTGGGATGTGGGGATCACTGGTTAGGTCACCATTTTGCCACCATTGCCTATTTGCCCTTGAGAACGAGGGGTTGAGCTGCCCCCTTACTCTTCCATGACTTGCCTGTTCTACTTCCAGGCAGCTTCCAGAGATCATGTTCATCAGTTACTATTTCCTACTTTTCAGTGTTAATGTCTGCCATCTTTCTATCTCACTTGCATGTGTTCACAGGCATGGGAGAGTCTGTTTGCCACTGAAGGTGTTCCTCGACATGGAATGCAAGTGTAGAATTGTCAGTATAGAGCAACTCTCTGATGACAACTTATCTTTATCTTGGATCTCAGGTGAGCATGGCTGGGCAGCATTCTGGTGGACACTTTCTGTAAATTACATGAAGATATGACAGCAGCAAAAAAAGGATGTACCAAGAGTGTCAGGGCTAGAGCATAATTCTATTTGATCCTGCTGTGTGCCTCATAGGGTAAAAGGTCCAATGTTGCCCTGGTTCCATAATTCATATTACACATTATGTTGTCATAGAAATATGAGATCACATTGAACAACTGCTCTGAGGGTCGGTGTGGACTTGTTGGGCTGAAGGGCCTGTTTCCACAATGTAGGGATTCTATGATTCTATGATCTTCAGAGGGCAGCCCAAATCTCTTTGACAGTTTAAATAGACCATCTCTGCTCACATGGTCAAATACCTTGGCAAGATTGCTGAAGGTGATGTGTAATGGTTTCCTTTGACAACAGCGTTTCTCTTGCAGCTGCCAGACCGAGATGATCAAGTCAGTCGTAAACCTTCCACTTCTGAAACTACACAGGGATTTGGAATAGATGCATTCAACCAGATCTGCAATCTGACAAAGGAAACATAGGCTCTGGTCACAATTTTTGCATCACGGATATTCTAGGTCAATGACATCTCCTGCTGCAGAGACAGAGAAGTTCATGCAGGTGCTGATTTTGAAGAAAGGTCAGCAGACTCAGAACATTAACTGTATCTTCTGTCTACACACGCAGCCACGCCTGCTGAGTTTCTCCAGCAATTTCTGTTTTTGTTTCAGATCTCCGACATTTTCTTAGTTCTTAGTTTCATCCATCACAGTGAAGCTAGCCTTGAAGCAGTCAGCATGTTTCTGCGCTTGTTTTCCATATGTTGCGAATGAAGTATTGCAGACAGTTTCATTTTGCTTTGACACTCCGTTTGGAGATGTCGGAGTGTGTCTATTATTTGAGTTGAAGAATGGTTGGTTTTTATCTGGTTCAGTAATATAGCCATCAATGATATGTGGATAGTACTTCTGTTTTGAATGAAAAACATCAAGGGTTACATTCTAATTGGGAAGTACACCATGGAGTGTTCTGTATGCAGTTTGCAAATGATACAAAACTTGGCAAAATAGCAGGTAATGAATGGGGATAGTTATAGTAAATGATGAGTTGTTTTGAGAACAGTAGATAGAAAACAATTATTCCTTCTGGCAATTGGGTCAGAAACAATAGATTTTAGATTCAAAATCATTGGTAAACATCTAAAGGAGAGATGAGTTTTTTTTTCATTCAGGGGTGTCTAGATTTGGAAAGGTCAGTTGAAAATCTGCTGGAAGATGTTTTCGTAACTAATTTTAAGAAGGAGTTAAACAGCTAATTGAATTGAAGAACTTACTGGATTACATACATAAGTTGGAGATGTTGAACTAAGTGTAAGATAACACAGTGTGGAGCTGGAGGAACACAGCAGGCCAGGCAGCATCAGAGGAGCAGGAACGCTGACGTTTTGGGTCTGGACCGTTCTTCAGAAATGGGGGAGGGGAAGGGGACTCTGAAATAAATAGAGAGGGGGGAGCGGTGATAGAAGGTGGATAGTGGAGCAGATAAGTGGGAGAAAAGACGGACAGGTCAAGGAGGTGGGGATGAAGCTAATAAAGGTGAAGGTAGGTAGGGAGTTGGGATAGGGGTTGGTCAGTGAGATGGGAGGAGTGGATAGGTGGGAGAGAAGATGGACAGGTCAAGGAGGCGGGGATGAGAGGGGGGCTGGTTTTCGGATGAGGTCAGGGATGGGGAGATTTTCAAGCTGGTAAAGTCCACATTGAGACAATTAGTTGTAGGCTTCCAAGGCGGACTATGAGATGCTGTTCCTCCAGTTTCCAGGTGGCATCGTTGTGACACTGGAGGAGGCCCAGGATGGACATGTCGGCCAGGAGGTGGGAGGGGGAGTTGAAGTGGTTCCCGACTGGGAGGTGTTGTCGTGTATCGCAAACCGAGCATAGGTGCTCTACAAAATGGTCTCACCGATGTAGAGGAGGCCACATCAGGAACAGCGGATACAATAGACCACATTAGCAGATGTGCAGGTGAACATCTGTTTAATGTGGAAGGATTCTTTTGGGGCCTGGGATGGAGGTGAGGGGATGGTGTAGGGGCAGGTGTAGCACCTCCTGCGGTTGCAGGGAAAGGTGCCGGGGGTATTGGGGGTAGTGGGGAGTGTGGAGCGGATGAGGGAGTTGTGGAGAGAGCAGTCCCTCCAGAAAGCAGATTAGGGTGGGGAGGGAAATATATCCTTCTTAGTGGGATCAGATTGCAGGTGGCGGAAGTGGCGGAGAATGATGCGTTGAATCCGGAGGTTCGTGGAGTGATACGTGAGGACAAGGGGAATTCTGTCTTTGTTTTTATTGCAGGGAAGGAGTGTGAGGGCTGAGGTGCAGGATACGCAAGAGATGCGGTCGAGGGCATTTTCGACAACTATGGCGGGGGAGAATTGCGGTCCTTGAAAAACGAGGACAGCTGGGATGTCCGGGAGTGGAATGCCTCATCTAGGGAGCAGATGCGACGGAGGCGGAGGAATTGGGGATAGGGGATTGTATTCTTGCAGGAAAGTGGGTGAGAGGAGGTGTATTCTAGGTAGCTGTGGGAGTCAGTGGGCTTGAAATAGATATCAGTTTCAAGGTGGTTACCAGAGATGGAGACAGAGATGTCCAGGAAGGAGAGAGAGGTATCAGAAATGGTCCAGGTGAACTTAAGGTTGGGTTGGAAGGTGTTGGTGAAGTGGATGAACTGTTCGAGCTCCTTGTGGGAGCACGAGGCAGCACCGATACAGTCATCGATGTAACGGAGGAAGAGGTGGGGGTTAGGGCCAGTGTAGCTTCGGAGGAGGGACTGTTCCACGTATCCTACAAAGAGTCAGGCATAGCTTGGGCCCATGCAGGTACCCATGGCCACTCCCTTTGTCTGTAGGAAGTGGGAGGAATTGAAGGAGAAGTTGTTAAGGGTGAGGACGAGTTCAGTTAGGCGGATAAGGGTGTCGGTGGAGGGGGACTGGTTGGGCCTGCGGGACAGGAAGAAGCGGAGAGCTTTTAGGCTACCCGCATGGGGAATGCAAGTATATGCAGTGAACTAAGTGTAAATGCTCAATTAAAGAGCCAGCAGGGACACTAAAGGCTTAATGGTCTCCTTCCATATTGTAAGTTCACATCAATCCAAATGAATGCATGCTGCTGTTGTTGGTGTTTCAGTGACTGATGGGCTGCTCTTTTTTTATTTACTGAGGGATCCTAATAACGTTAGATTGCTCAAGTGGTTTTATTTTTTCAATCTGTAATAAAGCACAAATCATTTTTGTGTTAATGCGTGTAAATATATAAAAGAATACTGTCTATTGCTTTTTCAAAATTGAATATGTTAAATAAAACATTGCATGTTGATTCATCTGTTTATTTTTCCTCACTTCTGAAACCAGAGATACAGACTCAACAAAATGTAACATGAGATTTGGACACATGGACTGTCCAAAGATCATGAAGTAGTGATTGTTTTATTCCATTGGTGTTAGGTAATTACAAGCACAAAGGGGAATTAAGTTTAAACAGGGAGAAGCATACATCATGTACATGGAATGACTCCTGTCATTTACATTGGATTGAGAATCATTTGTCCATCTGCTCCATCTGCCCATGAGGCTTTCTTTCCCCAAAGACACCATTTTTTTTCCCTCGTGGGTCAGTTTGACCACTCTGACTGCCCTCCCTCCTCAACACCACCTGCTGGTGGAGGTCGTGCTCAAAACTGTTCATTCTCCCCTGTTCCACACATTCTCTCTTATCACCTCCTGGAGGTTCTGGTACACATTTCCTTTGTTGAAATTTACAACAGCACATAGCATACAGTGACCACTTTATAAGCAGTTGTATAACTATCAGGTTCATCATGCCATGATGCTAGAAGGTTTGAGACCACATTAATGGCAGATTTTCTTCTTGTCTGACCGATGAAAGTTGGAGTGATACGTAACCATTGCTTGAGAAGACGTTCACAGCATCTTATCTCTACTGGTACCTTCTAAGTCATCAAAGATCTGTGGTAGATCACCCACATTGGGGTCTAGGTTAATCAGGTTTACAGGAGCCATATGATTGATGACACCACTACTGAAACAATCCATTGTCCAAATGCAGCAAGACCTGGTGTGCACCTGTGGACTTGAACAACTTGGCCAAATTTGTATTCAAGAAGGTGGAAGAGTAGGGTGCTTCAGCCGGATCTTGTTCGCTCTGGCCGTTTCTTTCTTTTTTTTTTGTTTCTTTCTCTCTTGGTGTTTCTTCCCGGCCTTAGCGTGTACCTGGCAAGGAGCCTGTGGTGGTGTCTCAGCCCAGTCTCTCTGTGGTGCGTGGCAGTCACCTGGCCCAGTGTCTTGGTAGCACATGGCGATGTCTCAGCCTGGTCTGTCAGTGGCTTGTGGTGGTGTCTCAGTGCAGCCTCTCATGGTAGTGTCTCGGCCTGTCTCTTGCTGGCACATGTGGATGTCTCGGCCCAGTCTCTCAGTGGCTCATGGTAGTGTCTCAGTATGGTCTCTTGGCGGCTTGTGGCAGTGTCCTTGCCTAGTCTCTCAGCAGCTCATGGCAGTGTCTCAGCCTGGTCTCTCGGTGCATTGTGGTGGTGTTTTGGTCTGGTCTCTCGGTGCGTTGTGGCGGTGTTTTGGTCTGGTCTCTCGGTGCATTGTGGTGGTGTTTTGGTCTGGTCTCTCGGTGCATTGTGGTGGTGTTTTGGTCTGGTCTCTCGGAGCTACATGGCGGTGTCTCGGTCCGGTCTCTTGGCCTGGTCTCTCAGTGGCTCATGAAAGTGTCTCGGTCCGGTCTCTTGACTCGGTGTGACAGTGTCTTGGCTTGGAGTGGCGCTATCTCGGCGTGCAAGCAGGCTGTGCCTGGCATATTCTGGAGGCAGAAGGAGGAGATCAAGGAAGTGGCAGCTTCAGCAGCAGCAGAAGCGATGGCATCGGTACCCAATATGGGAAGAGCAAGCGGTGAGGGAGGTCCCCTGGTATATGCAGCGAGAACAGGCAGACGAGGTCTCCCTGGGAGTGAGATATGTGGAGGACTCATCAAAGATTTTTGAACTTTTAACTTTATTCCTTTATTTTTATAGATTAAATTAAGAAGGACTTTAATGTTAACTATTACCTTATCTCTTTATTTTTCAACTTGTTCTATAAAAGTAATGCCTAACTTTTTAACTCTGTTTCTCTTACTACTCTGTACCTAAGTATTTTGTACCTAGGTAACTTTGTACCTAAGATAGCGCCATGTGTGGCAACATTATACACTTTTCACTGTACTCCCGTACTTCAGTACTTGAGTACATGTGAAAATAAAATCTAAATCTTAAATATAAGGCATAGAGGTAATATGGTTAACCCATATGAACTGAGTTGAATCTGCAAGAAGCAGGAATGGGCTCTAGGAATGGAATATATTGAAACCGCATTAACTACAGCATGAGGAAATCACAGAACAATGGAAGCAAGAAGTGAGAAATGAGAAGTTGTTCATTTTGGAAGGAGAACAAAAGAAAGGAGCACTTTTTAAATGGAGAATAGCTGTAGAAAACTGGAACACGAAGGGACTGTGGGATACTTGTACATGAAGTACAGAAAACTAGCATACAAATGGAGTAGGTAATCAGGGAGGCTAACGGATTGTTGGCCCTTATTTCAATGTGGTTGGAGTATAACAGAAGTCTTACTGCAACTCTACAAGGTGCGAGTGAGACCACATCTGCAGTACTCTGAGCAGATTTGGTCCCATTATTTCAGAAAAGATATTATTTCATTGAAAGTAGTTCAGATAAGGTTCACTAGGATAATCTCCAGTATGGAGGGATTGTCTTATGAGCAAAGATTAAACAGTTTGTAATTCTACTGTTACGAAAGTTGTGTAGAGTAATCGTGAATTGGAAGACAGAAAGCTAGAATTTGATTGTAAAAGAATGATAAGAGGTAAAGTGTTTTTCTAAGCTTAGAGATTTGAAC